GTATATATATATATGTGTGTGTGTGCAGTATATAAACTTATACAAAATGTACCCACAATATTACGATATCAGAATCACAAAAAAAAAAAAAAAAACAGAAAATATATTTTTTTAGTTTCTGTCAGATTTGGAACACATCTCTCCTTTCATGGATCTCAGCTACCCATGTGATCTACTCTGTGAAACCGCAGATACCATGTAAGACAGTCACACTTATCACTTAGCAGATTCACCCACTGGACGGTTGGCTGTGGGGAGATGGGGGTTCCTGAGTAGGAAGTGGGGTGAAAGTAAAACCCGTTGCTGGGCGACTGAATCATAGTTGCTATGGTGAACATGAGTTGAGCAGCTGGTCCAATCAGCTGAGAAATGTAGGGCAAAGTGGATCTCATACTGAAGAGAGTGATGTAGAAACACGTGGGAGGAAGAGAGGAAGCGAGAATGGGAGAAAGAGAGAGGGACAGTGGAAGTAAAAGATGGGTGCAGAAAAGGAAGACTGTAAGAGAGGAAAAGAGGGAAGTTGTAGAAAATGATCAAACAGGATGAAATAAGGAATATTTCAAGTAATAAGGAAGATACAGATAGTGAGGGGGAAAGGCTGGAAAAATAAAAGAAAAAAATATCTAGTCCAGAATATTTATGTAGCCTACTAAATGTATTTTACACTTTCATTTAACATCCCACTAGGCTACATGATGTTATAAAATATTGTGTTTGCTCTGTTCTCACAACTATTTGATTATTTTTCATAATGTTATAAATGTATGCAATTTTTTAAGCTAATTATGATATGTGACCAAAACAGTTGTTTGATATTTTTGAATGTTGCCTTTTAGCCTACATTTTTTTCTGTTTGTGAATTATTTTATTTCATAATCGCTTTATATTATATAGCTAGGCTATATATTTTTGTCGTCAAAATTGACTCGTTACATTGCAGTACAGTATCCTAACAATCATTTTTTTTAAACGAGCAAGTTTAAACGTCTTTTAATAATCCCTTAAAGAATACGGGGCTTCTTTGACCTCGACAGCAGGGTTAGATAGCCTATACATGACAGTAGCAGGTGCAGGCAGTTACTTAAACTCAAAGGGCTTCCTCAGCTCTTATTCATCTACATGATCTTGATTCCTCGTCAATGACAAAGCCGCTAAATCGCGCAACTGCATCACCAAAGCCTCCCTCCTCCACAGACTCGCATTAGTGGTGTCGTCTTGTGATGGAGAGGCCCCTGTCGCGCGGTGGGGTGGACGGGCCGCTGAAGAGAAGGAAAAGCACGATGAATGGTCCGGCCGGTATTGTAACGCAAAGACAACTCCTCCTTTGCGCAATGGAGAAGGAGGTAGACCCAAAATATCGCTTCAGGGGAAGAATAAATAACCTTTTGCCCGGCTGAGCATCTATTCTGGGATTTTACACATTTACAGTCGAACTGAGGGGGATTGGAAATGAGGTGAATTCAAGATGGTGAATGGATTATAGACTAGGCCTACTGCAGCAAACTCAGGTCCATGAAATCGCACGTGGGTTATGGGCTTCTATAGGCTTCCTAAATATTCAAATCCCTTCACTTCCTATCCTCCCACTGGCTCTCATTTGTAGAAATTAGATGGGCCTATTTGTTTACGATTCACAATTTTTTAGGATAATTCATGGAAACTCGTGCAACCAAAGAATTTGGGGTAGCCTATGCTCATCAAATGTAGCCTATTTGGACTGCAACTATAGGGTAACGTAGCCTATTATACATTTTCGAATTAAGGTTTGAACCCTCAATGAATATGCAGGGTATGTAGGCTATAGCTTATACTTTTAAAACTTGATTTCAAACTTTTAACTAGAAAGTAGGTAAGATTACAAGGTGCAAAGTCGCAAAACGCTCACAAATCTCTTTCAGCAACAGCGCCAGCGTATTTTGCTACAATAAGAATCGAACATAAAATCGATAAAAGCGGCCCATTTTAATTAGGCCTATATATTAGGCTATAGATTAACTCACCCTTTTTACATTTAAGATAATTAGCGGTTAGTTTATCGCTAGGGGCGCCACAAAACTGTTGCCAGAGATCTTCCCCAAAAATGAGTGTCACTGAATTAAAATCATTCGCGCATGGACTCTATACTTATTTCGCATTTCTTTGAAAAATTATTTTAATATTTAGCTGACGTATTTCGGATTTATTTTTAGCTGTTAGCCTTACATTTTAGACTAAATGTAGCCTTCTTAAAAGCTCAGAATCTGCAGGAAGTGCAGGTCTGAGACGGTGAGGATTGAATACCCAGGTGAAAAAGACGTAGTATTAAATGTATTAAAAAGTACTAGAAGTACTTTTGTATTAAATATATGCTTAGTTATACGTCTAAGAAATATGCTAAACAGAAGCATACTTTTAATGTATTTATAAAAAGTATACTAGAAATACTTTGGTAATAAATATATGCTTAGTTACACTTTTAAGGAATATGCTAAACACAAGCACACTATTAGTATATTTCTAAAAAGTATAGTAGAAATACTATGTTAATAAATATATTTTTAGTTACACTTTTAAGGGATATACTAAACACAAGCATACTTTTAGTGCAGCTTTATAATATACTAGTAGTGTAATGCTAATGCATTTCCAATGAGCTGAAATACAATTGAAATGTACTTGAAGTACATTAAAACGATGCTTCAAATATACTCTAACTGTAGTTCATGAAGTATTAAAAGGACATTTTTTAAGAAATTTAAGAAATACACTTAAATTGCACTAAATATACTTAAAGTGGTTCCAATTTAACACAATTTCAATATATTAAATATATTACAAATAGATTAGGCAAAACTTAAACTTAAAAACCTAACAAACTTAAGCATAACTTGAAATACACTTAATATACTTAAAGTTGTTTCAAAATAATACATTTAATATGCACTTAGTATAGTATAATTGAAATACAGTAAGTATGTCTGAAAAAGCACAATTTAAATATATTTATTTTTCACCTGGGTAGAATTGTCGCTCCCTCTCTAAAGTCTGGAAATAAATTAGCCAAAAGTATGTGAAGCAAGTGATAAACCATGAACTGACCGTGGCAGACATTGTTTAGAGTGCTCGGGGACATTTCTAACAGCAGCTGTGGTTATGAACAATTTTGGGTAGCTACTACAGCAACTCAACTGAACGTAAAGGGCGCTAATGGCTCTCAGTCCTCCGAAAGTCAGCCTCACTGGTTTTCAAGGGCACCGTACTGATGGGGATTTGGTTAACGGGAGGGGAGGGGGCATTCGGTGCGGCTCATGACGTCACCGTGTCCCGGCGTAATCCTCTCGCGCTTGAGTCCTATCAGCAGAGGAGGGCGAGCGCGCGGGGACGCGAGGAAGCACTAATGTCTCCAGAAGGGATCAGCGCAACCAAGAAGCAAACGAGGCCATTTAACACTGCAGCACAAAACGATTACGATTAAAAACGGGATACAATCGGTGTGTTTCGGCGGTAAACGACAGGCGTGACCTCACTGCTCGTTGCGGGATGCAGGAGGGATACGGCGGCAGCTCAAAAGATGCTCGACGGAGAAAATGGAGCATCGTGTTTACGGGGGACTTTAGTGGTGTTTCAGTCATTTTGCTTGTTTTGGCGGTGATATTATTTTGAATAAGGTTGGTCTACAGCTTTTCGTAAAAGAGTTTATCGTGTATTTTGAGATTTTAAAAGTGTTTTGTTTACACTTGATGTAGTCTGAGGGATGCACTACTGCAGAGGTCAGCAAAATGAGTGAGAATCATAACAATGCGCGCCCTTCTTCATTGCTTTCATTCTGTCGCCTGCAATGCAATTCCGTGATCTATACGACACCGATTAATTCATGATATGCTGTATTTGGGCATTGACATTCTTTTTGAATTCCTAACCGTACTGCCACTGAGGCACACAAATCCCAGAGACCTAAAAGAAGGAGGACAATAGCTGTGGCTGCTTGAATTGAGGCTGCAGAATCATATACAGAGCAGCTCTTAAAGGGAGTGAATATAGGCCACTGGCTGGCCTGCTCTGCGCAATATATGCATTGGTATTTGATTGTCTTTCACGCGAAATTGAAATAGAAAACAACGTAGAAACTATTGTGATTGTAATTTTGACGTTTTGTCGTCGGCGTGTTTTCAAAACGCATTACGACATCCCTCTTTGCGGTACTCTGAAGAGCAGCCTGCTCTGGCGTGCGCGCGTCATGGAGGGTGGTGACATGGGCCCGCCACTCTGCGTGTTCACGGCGGACCTTGATTTAATATCCATACAATTAAGGCACGCGGTGAATGCCAAGAGAGGGGCCTTACAACAGCGAACCTGTATCGTTTAGGAAAATGAGCAGCAGAGATGCGCAGATCTGGAGTGAAGGCTAGTAAAGCCAAAGAGCTGAACAGGAACTGAGGCCGCTTGGTTTGCAGGCGCATGATAGGAATATTAATTTCGGGAACTGACAGGAATGTGAAATTCCTCTTCTAATTTAATATATATATATATTCTGAATATCACTAAGTCTATTTCTACTGGTATATGAGGTCATTTTCATATAGCCTAATAATAATAAAATAGATTTAAGACTATTTAGTAGATGCTTAAATCCCATAATTTAATCATGCCATGCAGTGTAAACAACAAAGAATATGATAGGGATTTGGTAATATAGGCACAACACTGCTTGAAGGAACCTTGAGCAAATATTTAAAATGTCAGATATACATGAATGGTTTTTGTGTACAAAAGAAATCTGGTTCCCCATTGCAAAACTGAAAACGCAGAAAAACCGAAGACAGAAGGGTCAATAGTATATCCTGAAAAGAATGGCTAATCAAACATTACCTGAATTATGTTCTGTGATCACTGTTTGGTCTTGTATTGGTAATTGTTTAAAAATAATTGGTAATTGTCTTTGATTTCTAATGTGTATTGAGTGTATACTTGTATAAATACTGCATTCAACTGAAATATATGGATTTGTTTAGAAAAACAAATATTGCCAAAAAATGCCAAGTCAGGAGGACATTATTGTATACAATACATAACATAGAATAGGACTTACTGTTTTCAAATATCCAAACTGTGTTCAATCTTTTAATCTGCATAGAGCATCCTCTGCCAAGACCTGTCACTTCCTTCCACACTTTCTTTGTTTACCTGTCAATAAACCCTTATTTCATGCAAATCTGCTTCCTGCTTAGAAATTTTGCTTCAAGTTTTTATTTCTGGCCAGAACTCTACTTTCTGTTATCTAGATGAGTAGAACAAGATGGCAGCCAATCAATACAGATGACCCTGAACTCAATTATCTAGA